AAAACAAATGACAAACTCACTCAACAATTTGTCACCAGCTATACAGTAAGGTGCACACAAAATGGGCTTTGAACAGTAAAACAGTAGAAAGGTATCATGGTGGTTTGTGAGTGTGCCATGATACCTTTCTACTGTTTTACTGTGCAAAGCCCATTTTGTGTGCACCTTACTGTATAGCTGGTGACAAATTGTTGAGTGCGTTTGTCATTTGTTTTGCTGTACCTGAGGATGCTGCATGCTGAAGCGTTGTGGAGAAGAGCGCAGGGGAGCCAGGTCAGTAACACAGCCTTTCCTCTACACTTAAAGGACAATTCTGAAGCGAGTGATTTTTCACTCAGCCTCATAATCTGAGCACTCCTGTGAGAATGTCACAGGTCGGCTCAGTAGATTGGGAAGTGAGCGAACACATACCGTCGCTTGCTCACTTCTCGATCTATCCCTGCAGAGAGCGGTGACTGTCGCTCACGGCTCCCCGCAGGGATTCCCGCTCCGATCCTCCAGCGCTGACTGGCGGAACGGACAGGGGAGGGGGCGGGCACAGCTGGCTCTGGATAGGCAGAGCCAGCTGTCACTCACGCATCTTGGTGGATCTCGACAGCAATGTCCGGATCCATCCCGGCTGCTGCGTCTCAGTATACCGCAAGCTGTAGCTCGCGATATACTGAGTTTTGGGTCACGGGAGAACGCTAGTTTGTGTTCTCCCGTGACCCTTAGGAGAACTATTGGGAAAAGCCCTAACCCCATAGTTCTCCTTTTTTAAAACATTTAAGTGTAAGAAAAAGTTGTGGAGTGGAGAGGGATTAGAGCTTCTGTCAGGTTTATATTGCTGCCTGTGTCCCCGTTCAGGAGATTCACCCCCTTCTCTTTTTGTCCTGTGACTGTTACCACTAAAAGTTAAGAAAATCACACATTTTGGGTTGTCATCAGAACAGGAAATGGGGGCAGTAGTTCTGGTGTCTCTGTTGACCACCAGGGATTTCCCTCACTTCCTGTTGTGACTAGCGGACAAGAAGTGAAGGCAAATCTCCAAAAATAGGATGAAAAAGGTAA